TTCCAGAAATGTCAACTCTTTTTTTCACATTAAGTATTTTGGTTTTTGAAGTTTCTCAAATTTTCCGTCCAGGATATTCTCACCATCCGTCTATAGCATCACATATTTGAGCTGAAGAAGAAACTCGATGACTGATGCTAAGAATATCTGTAAGAAAATTTCTATAAATCACTGTCTTATAGGAGGAGAGATATAACATTGCAATTTAGCATTTTTGTTTCTATTGAAATGTTCCTATTTCTTAATATTTTGCTTAACTTTTGGAAGGCCTCTTCTGTTATTCTAATGCACCTTCAAGGTTATGGGTCACAACTTCCGTCAAATTTTAATTTACTACTTCATTTATTTACCATGTCCCTTTAAAATATCGGTGATCATAGCATTCTACAACTTCATATCTTTTGGATCTATCTATATTTCTGAGATGAGGTATTATGTACATTATTTACATTATTCGGACTAATGTCCCCATCTTTGTCGCCATATTTATCACATTATTTATCATATTTATGACAGAGAAAAACAATGATAACAACAAAGTTGCAATATGAGCTCTGGTAAAAACATGGTGTGATGACAGCAAAATTGCAATATGAGCACTGGTAAAAATGGTTGCTGAAGACATTAGGTTTATAATACCCAGAAATTCATACCCAACGGCACATCGCACAGTGGATAAAGGCGTTGGTTAGATCCAGTGACAAGACCCAAAGTGTGAATTCAATACCCGGTTAAGGCAGTGGAGAACTTTCAGAGGGAAATTAGGAGGAGATAACTGATAACTGACATCCATCAAACATGGCACGTGGAACTAGAACAGTCTACCCCAGTGAGCGAAATAAAGGGTTCAGTTCGAAATTCCAAACACCTGGAGAAGGCCGGAGCGTATGTGATAAATATGGCGACAATGATGAGGACATTAGTCCGAATAATGTAAATAATGTTCATATCCGTCTTCATATATGTCCTATGTTTCTAATTTTAATATTATAAATGCTTATTCGGCATTACGTAGTAACCAAGCAGATATAAGTGTTTTTATTTAAAAATTACGTTAAAATATTTGGGTCTATTTTGAGATTATTTATTAATACTATTTCTTAAAATTTTGGCTTAATTTCGCAGACAATAACAGATTTTCTTGGAGTTTTCGCCAGAGAATGCCTATTAAAAATGGTCGCTGGATTGCACCACTTCAAGAGCATAAGATCATGTTAATTGTATAAACAGACCAATGTTGAAAGTGAAAGAAGCGTCACGTAACTTTGCTGTTAAGATACTGACATGTCCATCGGCGGTTTTCTGTGTCAAATTTAGCTTATCAGGATTGTGTTGTGGTTTACAGACACTCCAGTGCCGCATACTGTGATCGTTTCCTCAGTTCAATATTATAAAGAAGTTACATCCTTGACAAATCGACCATACTGAGATGTGCAGTCGGAAGAATTAATTTGGAAACAATGGGATACGTTGTAAGAAAATAGGCGCCAAAATTTTTCCTTTAAAATCAGTCTTATTACTAACGATGCAAGAGGAAAAAACAATTAATGCTCCCTGCTAAGTTTGATTTATATTTGAAAAAAAAATACTAGAATAATCCTCAACGTATGCAGGAAGCGAACTGTCGATAGGAAACGAGTTAATACAGAAATATTGTGAGAAGTGAGGGAAGAATTTATTAAGCTCTAGAGTGAAATACTTATATCGGATCTCGAAGAACTACCATATTTATTATTGGTGAATATAATCTTAAAATTTGCAGGTAACATGTGCTGTTGCCAGACATAGGAAAACTACAAGAACTAGAAAAATTAGGAAAGAAGATAAAAGAAAGGATCAACTAATATAAAGTTATCAGCAGGAATGATAGCTAAATAAGTGCTTCACATTAGAGACATCAGATCCAAGAACGTATATCTAGTGGCAGAAATTTTTTCTCGCCGAAGTCGATCCTTCAAATCTAGAAATAAACCATTCGCCCTTACATGGAGTATTGCTGACATATATGGTCTTGAGCCTTTTCTTTTTGTCTCAAGGTCCTTGATAAAATCCAGAGAGGACTATGCAATGTAACTGGCCCTGATCTGGCATTTCGTCTGCAGTCGCTCTCTCACAGACGTGCCGTCGCCTCCCTCTGTCTTTTTTATAAATACTTTCATGGCAACTGCTCCGATGAGCTACTTTTGCTGGTTCCCAGACTTCATGAATTTAAGCGTTCTACTAGGCTGGCATCTCGCTCTCAGCCTTTCACTGCCGAAACTGTTAAATGTAGCCGTCTTTTCTACTCCAATAGCTTCATGTCTCACACCTCTCACATGTGGAACTCCTTCCCCTCTTCCTGTTTCCCTGATAGCTATAATCTCCAACTATTTAAATGTAAGGTCAATCGACGTCTCCAAGTGGATCTATCCCCTATCCTTCTCTTCATCCTTTCCTCCATCACTCCTATTTGCTCTCGCTCCAACTCTCTGTAACCCCTTGTGTGCTAAGGGATTCCCGCCTTAATTGGGGTGAAACGCTAAAACAAAAAAAAAAGATGACGGAAAATGTGACACCATGATCCGAAGGCGCATTGCAATAACATAAGTGATATGCCCGAAATAATGAAAATTATAAAGACATGAAAATTTCGTTAGAAATAAAGAAGAACATGTTGAACTGCGATGCTACATTTATTCTTTATTCTTATAGGTCGTGGATTCTGAAAATCTTCAAACAGATGAAGTCATGTTATGAATCTTGCAAAATTTGCTTCTGCAGATGGCGGCTGAAAATGGAAAGAACAGTTGAACTACGAGGAAGATTTTAAAGAAATGTAATACTCAAAAGACACATGGAAGTCAAAGAGCGAATAAGGTACTTAATATGTCTTTTTATAAATGGATATATATATATATATATATATATATATATATATTTGCATATAAAGATATAGATAGATATATATTTAGCTGATTGATGCGTGAAACAAACTCACATCAATCCATCACTGATATTGAGCGCTTTCTAATAAGTCAGTCAGTCTGTTATGTACCATGCATGATACACGCGTAAAAGATTATGTATCTTTCGATGCATGACTGACGAGGCAGATTTTTTCATTCATAGAGGTTGCCATTTATTCCTACAGTAGATTGCCATTTCTTTCTGCAGTATAATCAGTTGCCATCCAATGCTATAGAACCCTGCCTTTCCTGCTATTTACATATAACGGGGGTGGGGAGAAAAAGATTCATACTTTGCCAAGGGAATTTTGCCCGTAAGTGAATGTAATGGATTCGACTAGAATTCGAACTCGGCTTTCCGATTCCCTCCATTCGAGCCGTGCCTCCTATATATATATATATATATATATATATATATATATATATATATATATATATATATATATATATATATATATCCATATGCATATATATATGCATCCATATGCACACACACACACACACATATATATATATGCATATGCATCCATATGCATATATATATATATATATATATATATATGTATCCATATGCATATATATATATATATATATATATATAATGCATCCATATTCATATATATATATATATATATATATATATATATATAATGCATCCATATTCATATATATATATATATATATATATATATACACATGTATACATCCATTTGCATATATATATAAATATAGTTTTAAGGTCTGCTATATTCATAGGATAAAGTGCTCAGAATCAGGGATAGAATGTATGTAAATATAAATATAAAAGTGAACATTGATGTCAACATTTCAGAGCCTCTGAGTGTTAACTTCAATGTTCAATTTTTTATTCATATTTATATATCCATGCATATATATTTGTGTGTGTTCGGATACCATCTTTACACACACGCATACGTACAGTAATACGTATTGCTCTCTGTCCACATTTCCAAGACAGAGGAAATACGCCTTCATATATATATATATATATATATATATATATATATATATATATAGACTGTCAGATAAACACTTAAAAATACTCGAACACACACACACACACACACACACACACACACACACACACACACATATATATATGTATGTATCTATGTATATATATTATAATAATAACTAGTAAGAAGAACTAACAAAAAATATCTCAATTTGAAAAACGAAATCGCCCGCTAAAAGCCACAAAATATTTCAATGTGATCATGAATCATAGAAGCTGTTTTACATTTTGATGAATAGTCTCTGTTTATAACAAAATATTTATTAAGGAGAAAGCTCAGAGAAAGAATTAATAAGAGTAATATGAATAGTGTGGGTGGATAGGCAGAAAGAAATGCAGACAAAAAAGAATTGAGAGGAATGTAAAGAAACTTAGAAGTAAAGAGAAATAATAATAAAAAATACACTAATCTGAAAGTATATTTCAATCTTAGCAGCCTCATCTAAATATTGGTATATGGTAAAACAGATCAGCAGTGATTCGTATAAGAAATCTGACAAAATCAAGTCAGTATTTCCGAAGCCTCTTGCAGAAAAAATGCGTCTATTTTTGACGAAGCTTTTACTTCCAAGAATATATTTTAACTTACCAATAGTTACTCTTAATGAAAGACATCTCACATTATACAATGAAAATCCAAGATCAAAATTCAAAAACTCCTATCTACGCGTGAGACACGAGACATACTTATCCGTCATTTTATGTATGTAGTTATATTACTGGTAATATTATCTGTTTCCCTTTTAAGGAAATATACATATTCATTGACCTAGCAGCCAGTGTTATTAGATTGGTGCAAAAATAATGACGTAATAATGTCGTTTTTTGACGTTAAAAAATACGTTACAAAACGACATTATTACGTCATTATTTTTGCACCAACCTAATAGCTTTAATGTTACATTGTAAACCCTTCTTTTAAAACTAGTTTTCTACTAGAATGTTATTATATCTCATTGATATTATGTTTTGCAGAGTGTAGCTCAGGTTATAAGCTGGTATTTCCTATTTTGAAAACTTCCGGCCATATCACGTTGAAACATTGGTTCCCGTACGAACACCGATGTAAAGCAACATCCAGCCTGATAAGTATCTAGATGGATGGACTCTTGGGAATACTAGGCGATATAAGCTTGGGTGTGAGCGTGGTTTAATGGATAATGGCTCGGATATTTTAATCAGAGAGCCAAGTTCGAATTTCTGTTGGGTTCTTTATATTTAGTTACGTATGAATCCACCTCTTCTCCCCAATCTATTGGTTAATTAGTAAAACATGTTTCACTAAACCATTATTATTTCAAAAAATAAAATAAAAATTGTGTACAAAAAATATTTAGATTTCGGCATTAAATGACCCATATAGATGTTGATATGACGCTAAAGAAAAACAACGAACCAAGTTTGAAATAATGTGTCTAGTTCTGCTTTAAACATTATACTACGTTGTTATATTCTTTGCACTTTCTTACTATTGACTTAGTGACAATATTATTATCGTCAATTATCAACTAATTTTTACTTTTGGAAAGACTTTTACAGACGACTGACCTCAAAATAAACTCAATGATTACATAGTATCTTGATGGAATGTCTTTGATAACGAATGCCTTACATGCTTTACATTTTCCTTGATAATTTTTTTCTCCTGACGTTCGGTGGGATGTAGTTGGAGTAAAACAGCAACAATAGCAGTTATAACATAAATATGCATCATATGTTATAACTGTCTCATTCTTTTTTTTTAATGTTAAAACTGGTATCTACGACATTATTTACATTATTCGGACGATTGTCCTCATCTTTGTCGCCATATTTTATCACAAAGTTTCAGCCGTTGTACACTCCGGCCCTCTTCAGGTGGTTGGAATGTCGAACTGAACCCTTTATTTCGCTCACTGGGGTAGACTGTTCTAGTTCCACGTGTCAGAGGGAAATTAACGGGAGATAACTGATAACTGACATCCATCAAACATGGCACGTGGAATTAGCAGTCTACCCCAGTGAGCGAAATAAAGGGTTCAGTTCGACATTCCAACCAACTGAAGAAGGCCGGGGCGTACAACGGCCGAAACGTTGTGATAAATATGGCGACAAAGATGAGGACAATAGTCCGAATAATGTAAATAATGTACATAATACCTCATCTCAGAAATATAGACAGATAGTGAAGGGCCAAAACGTTGTAATAAATATGACAACAAAGATAAGGACACTAGTCCGAATGATGTAAATAGTGTACATAATACCTCATCTCAGAAATATAGACAGATACTGAAAGGCCGGAACGTTGTAATAAATATGGCAACAAAGATGATGACAATAGTCCGAATAATGTAAATAGTGTACATAGTGTAGACTCATCTCAGAAATATAGACAGATAGTGAAGGGACAAAACGTTGTAATAAATATGGCAACAAAGATGAGAACAATAGTCCGAGTAATGTAAATAATGTACATAATACCATATCTCAAATATAGACAGACTCTGGTATCTAGTGCTAGAAATATTTCACAAATGGATCCTGAGAATATCGTGTACTGAAGATGTGATCAACGAGGGAATTTGAGAGAAAGTGCAACAAAGATGATATTTTACTTAGCTTAAGAAAGAGATATTCTATGTCAAAAGGAAGCTTGGAAAATGTTACACTCACAGGAAAGACAAGAGGGTCCGAAGAAAACAGAATATAACATACCTAACGAGCTTTGTGTAAATGGATGACACAACAGGGTTTTGGATGGACAGCAAGATGACCAAATATAGTAAGCGCTACAAAGATGGCGAGCAATGCTCGTCAAAATCAGGAAGGTTGACGACATGCAGAAAAATATTATAAACAGAATTAAACAGCATTTACCGGCCTGAATGTCCTAGAAATTTTCATAGAAAATATTCGTCCTCCGGTAAATGTTGTTTAATACTGTTTATTATAAACAGAGCATTTACTTTAATAGTTGTATCTGTAAAAAAAAAAAATGTATAAACATAAAAAATGTCTTAAAATAATTCTCGGACTTTTTTCATTTCATAATGTGTGACGTCATTTGTTTACATTTGATGCGCCATGAGCAGATATGAATGTACTTGAGAGATTCATGGGTGATTGAAGTTTAAAGGCAGTAAATTCGACCTTGCTAACCGAACGATCCTCTGTGGCCGAATCGTTTACGGGCACGTCAGGCTGTATGAAGGTTCCGAATAGGTTACAGAAAAAGATTATCTTTATTAGTATTTCTGCATTTGTTTTTGTTTTCTTTTTGAAAATACCAGATCGTTATTTCACAATCTCTAGTGCCGGGATTCGAACGCGTATTGCACTAACGAAAGAAGCATTACAAATGTAAATTAAGTTGCTGAAAAACGGAAAAAAATCATTAGAAACAAAGAATAAAGTGCTAGATCACTGTGTGATATCCATCCTCTTATATAATAATGAATGCTGGACAATCTTCCCAAAGATGAGGAGAAAACTGGATAGAAATTTGGTTCTACAGAGGGATACTGAGGATTCTATGGACGAAGCAAGTAAGCAACTAAATTAGCAAGAAAAAGTATATTTCTATTAAAATCAGAAAAAAACATCTAAAATTATTTTGACACATAATATGGAAGGAGGGCTTGGAAAACTTAACACTCACGAGTCGCGATGAGGGAAGAAAGGTAGGTGAAGGCAGCGAGCTACCTGCTTGACGAGCTGGTGCAATGTGGTGGCGGAATAAGTATTGTGGATCAGAAAAAAAAAGAAGCCCCTGACGAGATTCGAACTCGAAAGCTCTATCCCTGCGCGCCTGCCTTTCCTAGCGATAATAAGTGTCGTTTCAGAATCTTTAAAACATTTCAATCTACTCTGCCTAATTGACGATCATAGATTAACGATCTGAGTTGCGATAAAAAGCGACAAAATACGATGAAAGAAAGACTAGTCAACATTAATAACACAATGTACAGGAGATTTCCACATTCCCGATAGCAAAATGTTGATGTCTTGTGTAAGATGTCTGGATTTTTCACTAACCAATCTTGGAGAGGAAAGTTCGCATTTTCCATTCTATTTTCTCGTAACGGAGCCAATGTTTTTTTTTCTTTCTTCGCTGTTTTTTTGTTTGTTTGTTTCTCTCTCGTTTTAAACAGAATTTTTCTTTGACTATCAGCAAAAAGTTATCTAGCCTCTATTAATCTTTTGTAACCATCAGAATATTTCGGAAATTAGCTTTTTTTTTATTAATCTCAATAATAAACTAATGAAAATCATCAATCACACACAAACAAAAAAAATGTGTCTAAAGTTTATGTTGTTGCCCAGACATATTTCGGTTAAATATCTTTCTATATGAAAATAGGACCAATCATATTAAGATTTTATGATCTAACATTATCATCCCCTTTCTCCGGGGTTGCTATTGAGAGAAGGTAGGTAATAGGTGTGACAAAGAAGTGCCTCAAAGATAATATTAGCAGAGAATGCTATAAAATTATTGGCATAGAACAAAAGTTCGGGGCTTTTTTTATGGTAGCATATGAATACGTATTCTAGTTTAACACATGCCTGAAAATTTATGACATATAAACATATAAACTACCTTAAAAACAGCCTTATCGTGTGGCATTTAACCTAGCTCCTGCAGACTGTTCTCGGTTGGGCCTTCAGCTTGTTCAGGAGTTTGAGGATCCCTGTTTTGCATATACTCAGCATTCGAAGCTCTCCTAGCTTCCGTGTGATCTTGGATTTCATTTGCTCGGGACTTTCTTTTCTTCGCTCAGCTCTTTTGATTGCAATCAGGTCCTCTGTTGGCTGAGATTTCTTTTTGCGAGGCATAATGGTTGCCATATAAAATAGGCAACAATACACTACAGAAGAACTCAAAATTGATCGCTCCATTTAAGTATTGCATTGATATTTAGGCTTAGCTTTTAAAACTTCTGCTGTCATTTAATTTAAAGACAATTTGATGTATGTAGGTCCTAACTATTATTTTTATTTCATGGATGATTTTCCATAGATTTCGCAATTAATTTCGATTATTACCAAATTTATTTTCATGTTATAAAAATTTTTATCGTACAAAAAATTTGTCCCCAAAAATCTCGTAAAAATCTCCGAGAGTAATGAAAACTTGCGAATCCAGAATTTCAGGATTGCATGTCCGGGTCCGACCAGGAATGTTTTAAATTTTCTCTCGGAGTTGGCCTGATTCCAAAATGGTATATATTGGACTACGGCGTCTAGGAGTAAAGTTGAAAAAGTGTGACACACTGACATACGAATTTATTTAGAGAAGGTGTCAATTAAACCCGTCTTTTGATACGATTCGTCAGTTGATTCAGAATTTAAAATGCTTTCACGCTAAAAGGGAAAATGCAGGAAAATGAAATGCCTTTTCGTTGTCTGATACCCTTTTATTTCTGGAATGAAAAAAAAAATTCTCTAAAACAGCAAACAATTTCCCTATCTCTATCTATAAAAGGCAGGATGTGTGTGTGTGTGTGTGTGTGTGTGTGTGTGTGTGTGTGTGTGTAACGAATGCACGACCGCAATTTTTGACGGATTTGTGCCAAAATTTACATGCACATGCTCTAAGTTAGTGGGAAGGCCAAGATCGACTTTGCATTTCCCAACTCCCATCGATAGTGGAAATAATGGATTTTTTCATGCTTCTACGGCACTTTTCATGTAGTTTGCGGCCATTTTCTACTGGCCAGAGTTAGAGCCTAAAGCTGGCTGCCACGAATAGGCAGGAAGATTTTATTGGCCAGCGTGAGAGCCAACAGCTGACTGACAGGAATGTTAACTAGCATACTAGCATGCAAAAAAAATCGATAGCTGCATTCGTCACAAGTGGGAAAAATTTAAATCTGCATCTCACTCCAATTGGCCCATTCGCTTGCTTAAAGTCAACGTTGATTCTGATTCCGCAGAACTGGGTGGGGTGGGAAAAAGTATTTGTTGTTAACATTCTTTTTTCATTCGTTTTTTTTCACTTACGAGTCCTTTTTTAAAGCTGATCGTTTTGTGTTCATTTTGTTTAGTTCTTTTTCGTAACAAATTTAGTGTTTAGTATAGAGCTTAGAAAAAATTGGCAGTGTGAAATAGGCAAGAAGTAAGGCATGTCGCAACATCAGCACG